TACTGGGGATACTGGTGTCACTGGTTTTGCTGGATGTACTGGAGTTGCTGGTGTCACAGGGCTCACTGGTATCACTGGGGTTACTTACTGGTGTTACTGGATGTACTGGAGTTGCTGGTATTACTGGGGTTACTTACTGGTGTTACTGGTGTTGGTGGATGTACTGGAGTTGCAGGTGTCACAGGGCTTACTGGTATCACTGGTGTCACTGGGGTTGCTTACTGGTGTTACTGGTGTTGGTGGATGTACTGGAGTTGCAGGTGTCACAGGGCTTACTGGTATCACTGGTGTCACTGGGGTTGCTTACTGGTGTTACTGGTGTTGGTGGATGTACTGGAGTTGCAGGTGTCACAGGGCTTACTGGTATCACTGGTGTCACTGGGGTTGCTTACTGGTGTTACTGGTGTTGGATGTACTGGAGTTGCAGTTGTCACAGGGCTTACTGGTATCACTGGTGTCACTGGGGTTGCTTACTGGTGTTACTGGTGTTGGTGGATGTACTGGAGTTGCAGGTGTCACAGGGCTTACTGGTATCACTGGTGTCACTGGGGTTGCTTACTGGTGTTACTGGTGTTACTGGATGTACTGGAGTTGCTGGGGTCTCAGGGCTTACTGGTATCGCTGGGGTTACTTACTGGTGTTACTGGATGTACTGGAGTTGCTGGTATTACTGGGGTTACTTACTGGTGTTACTGGTGTTGGTGGATGTACTGGAGTTGCAGGTGTCACAGGGCTTACTGGTATCACTGGTGTCACTGGGGTTGCTTACTGGTGTTACTGGTGTTGGATGTACTGGAGTTGCAGTTGTCACAGGGCTTACTGGTATCACTGGTGTCACTGGGGTTGCTTACTGGTGTTACTGGTGTTGGTGGATGTACTGGAGTTGCAGGTGTCACAGGGCTTACTGGTATCACTGGTGTCACTGGGGTTGCTTACTGGTGTCACTGGATGTACTGGTATCACTGGGCGTACTGGAGTTGCTGGTGTTACTGGTGTCACTGGACGTACCGGAGTTGCTGTTGTTACTGGTCACTGGATGTACTGGAGTTGCTGGTGTCACTGGAGCTGCGTATGCTGGGAATGACTGGGATTGCTGGTGTTACTGGTGGTACTGGAGGTGACTGGACTCACTGGTGTTACTGGTGGTGTCGCTGGAGTTACTGGAGTCACTGGTGGTGCGGCTGCTGGAGTTGTGGTTATTGGGGTTGCTGGAGCTGCTGGTGTTACTGGAAGTGACTGGAATTACTGGTGTTACTGGGCTTAGTGGTCTTACTGGAGGTGACTGGAACTGCTGGTGTTACTGGTGATGTCTCCTGGAGTTACTGGGGTTACTGGGTGGCTGCTGGAGCTGGAAGTGACTGGAATGGCTGGAGTCACTGGTATTACTGGAATGACTGGAGTTGCTGGGAGCTGCTGGTGGTGCTAATGGAGGTGACTGGTGTTACTGGTGTTACTGGAGGTGTCTGGAGTTGCTGGCATTGCTGGTGTTGCTGTTGCTGGTATTACTGGGGTCACTGGTGGTGCTGTTGCTGGAGTTACTGAGGTTACTGGTGTTGTTGCTGGTGTTACTGGGGTTAATGGAGTTCCTGGAGCAGTCGGTGTTGATGTTGTTGTTGTTGTTGTTGCTGCGGTTACTGGTGTTACTGGAGGTGACTGGTGTTTCTGGTGGTGTTGCTGGGGTTACTGGTGTTAATGGGGTTGCTGCTGTAGCTGTAAGTGACTGGAATTGATGGAATCGCTGGAGTTACTGGTGTAACTGGAGGTGACTGGAGTTACTGGTGCCTCTGGAGCTACGGGAGTCACTGGTGATGCTACTGCTGGGGCTGTTGCTGTTACTGGGGTTACTGGAGTTGTTGCTGGGGTTGCTGGTGCTACTGGAGTCACCAGTGTTACTGGAGACAGGGGGTGACTGGAGTTACTGGTGCTACCGGAGTTGTTGCTGGGGTTACTGGTGTTACTGGGGGGAATGAAGCTACTGCAGTTAGTGAGGACTGGGGGGTTACTAAGTGGTTACTGGGGGGGTTACTGGTGTTACTGGGTGCACAGGTGCCAGGGCCACACAGGGTCGTGGGTGATGGTGTCTGGGTGTCCCCACGGGTGTCCCTCTGTCCCCTCGGGGTCCCCCGTGGTGTCCATGTTTGTCCCCTGGGGATGTCCATGTGTCTCCATCGATGTCCCCCGTGGGTGTCCCCGTGTCCCCTTGATGTCCCCCACGATGTCCATGTGTCCCTTGGGTGTCCCCAGGGGTGTCCCTGTGTCCCCTTGATGTCCCCCACGATGTCCATGTGTCTCTTGGGTGTCCCCAGGGGTGTCCCTGTGTCCCCTTGATGTCCCCCATGATGTCCATGTGTCCCTTAGGTGTCCCCAGGGGTGTCCCTGTGTCCCCTTGATGTCCCCCA